TATAATGTAATATACTTTAGTACCTACATAGTGTATAAATTATATTATCAAAGGTGGACATTAACAAGTTAAAAAGTTAATTTTTTCTAACTTTTCAACTTAACTAATAATCTACAGAAAACCGAGCTGTAAAAACTTTGCTTTTTCTAGTTTAATTTAAAAATCAATTCTACAAATGAAAACTATATTTATACAGAGTTGATAAGTCTATCACCTATATATTATAAACATTTTTATTTATTAAATTTTTATCTTTTACATTATTAATCGATCACTTATAGGTAGGTACCTACCTACAACTGTAGTTAAAACTAATGAATTAAATACCTAGTTATCACTACAGCTATTGTGTAGAAAGTTAGAATTAAAAATTTGAGAAACACTAGTTTTTATCATATATTTGTATAAAAAAAAGATATTAAATATTCAGAAATATACCAAATTAATACAATGCAGTACCTACTTACTATACTTCTTGTTTTTATTTTTTAAGTGCATTAAAGTTGTACAATTGATTTTAAATGAAAAATTAAATATATTATGCACCTATAAATGTTATATAAGAAATAAAAAATAAGCGTAAGTGTAAATAAAAAAGTTTTAGAATATAATACAAAAATTATTGATATTTTATTTTTTACATGTAACGTTGTTGAAAATGAATGGATCCAGCGTTGACAAAATAATCAGCAAAATATTCACGTACTATAATTCCTTCTTGTCGAGCTCCTGCAGTTCCATTCATCTGAAATTCGTCCAAATTATTGGAAAGCGTATCTTCAAATTTATACCCATCCCGTCTTCGGACGAAATTGTGAAGTATACAGCAAGCCTTAATAATATCATCAGTAAATTCTGGCTGCACTAAAATGGCTGTATGGAGCACTCTCCACTTGTTGGCTAATATTCCGAAGGCACACTCAACAAGTCTCCTGGCCCTGGATAGCCTGTAATTAAAAGTCCTTCTTCTCTCAGTTAGTCCGCGACCTGGGAATGGTCTTAACAAATTTTTATGAAGCCCGAACGCTTCATCAGCCACAAAAACAAACGGTTGAGGAGAGTCAGTTGCGTTAGGAAGGTAAACTGGTGTAGGGAGGTCTAACTCTTCAGAATATAATTTTTGGCCAAATGGGCTCTCTTTGAAAACGGTAGAATCTCCTTCTCTCCCGTAGGCACCAACGTCAATGACAACAAAACAATACTCAGAATCCACCACAGCCATAAGTAAAATAGAAAAAA